TATATTTTCAAATGTAAATATTCACTTTACTGCCGGAAACTTTTAAAAGGAAAGAATGGGATGAAGTTGGAAATGACTGCTTTATGACTATCTTTTGTCATAAGGAAACTATCCCCAATTTTAATCCATGGTCATTAGGAATTCTAGTAGAAGTATTTAGTTGAATATAGAATGGTAGAAAAACAAATGCTTATTTTTATGTCGGTCTTAGAAAGCACATCTTTGTAATTTGAACAAGTCAGTTTAAATCAGTCTTCAATAAAGAATTGAGAACATATACAGCTGAAAAGCATTGGATTTTATTTTTACCAATGAAAACAAGTCTGCAATGTTCTCAAAGAGGAATTTGTGTGGCATCTCTAAAAGAAACCTACTTCAGATAAATTCACACATGGATAAAGCCAATCATGGCTGGCATAAGAGAAGGAAAGAGTGAAAGGGACAGAGTTTATAGTTATGTTACATCTGCACCATTTCAGTGATCTTGGAACCGATGAAAAATTGATCAGCCAGATGTCTTAAGAAAATTGTATTTCACTGCACACAAAAATGGTATTACTACTTGGGATGCATAGGTCAGTGTATTTTGAAAGGTTTTTATTTTAAAAGACCTACTCAAAGTAATTATTTACATAGATTTGAACATTAAAAAGTAAGGAGGAAACAGTTGTCTTTTAATTAATCCTCTTTCCTTGATGAATTCAATTGTGTCATCTTTGAAAGTCAAAGCCAATATTCCTGACAGATTTTATCTATACAGAACTACTCCTCTGGGAAATGCTTGTGTTTAGTGCCTTACACTCAAAAGCTGTTTTAAGATTGTTTAAAGATAAATTCCCCCTAAGCTTTTCTGCAGCTTTATTTGAACTCTCAAAGCAGTGTGGAGGTTAATTAATATGCTGACACTATAGATTATTCTGCAAATAGACTGAAGTGTTGGGCGTATTTTCACTGTGAGACTGAAAGGAACAGCACTCTTCCCTATTAAAGAGTAAGTATGCTTGAAGGCTTATACAGAAAGCCTTTTCTCTTCGAAGCTATGTACATAAATGAATCTTGTTAGTGGTATAATGAAAAATTAGAGTACTTAAGAAAGATGATTGGATCCTGGATGTCTCTTTCCCCCCCAAAAAAAGAAACTGAGATTGTGTAGAGCTTTCTACTGGCAGAAAACAGACTCCATTTTGCTAAATCCTTCTTTCCATTGCAACCTACTCTTCAGTCCTGAAAAATCCACCAATATTCCAGAATATATTTTCAGGGCATTTTTATGCTGACATTAAGACCGAATTAAGAAAGGGTTTAAAACAAACTCGTTTCACTGCAGACTGCTTACATACCCACCCCAGGAATTGGTTTGAAGCTAGGATGGTGGCCCATGTATCCACTAATTGTGGATTAGAACCAAACCCAGGAATGTTTTTTAACCAGTCTTACAAGATGTGCTAATGCATATTACCATGCCCATTCAGGGATCAGTGCTAGACCATAGTAGGGCACAGATAATGCTAGACCATGGTAGAGTACAGGAAATAAGAACAAAGGGACAGAAAGGGAACATTCCCATGGGAATTATGTGGTTTTCCTCCTGGGAGAGTAATTGTTTACTCTCCATTCAGCTGTGCTTTGACTTTTTAAAAGTGTGTCAATACTAGCAATGTTCTGATGAGTGCGCTGCATTTTCTTGTCCCAATTTTGAGCACTGGTCAGCTGCAGCTTGTTATCCGACTTATTCTGGACTTTCTGGTGAGTTTTTTAAAACACACAGCTTGGGGCTTAATGTGTGCTATAGTGTGTGTTGAGGGTTTACCTTTTGTAAACACACTGCTGTTGAGTGGGTTTCAGATTGCATTATGCTGCCTGCGTAGAACTGCCTCGGAGGGCACAAGGTTAGGAGTGCAGGGTTTCCATGAATTTGGAAAAAATATGAATTAAAAATCTTTTTTTTTAACCTGAGAGAAAATCTTAGAGTCTCTTGTTTGTCCTAGAGAGGTCTCCTAGGGTGACTCCTAGAGATCTTATTGATCTAAGCCTCAAATTATCAAATTAAGCTTGCAAATGTGGACAGCCAACTGTCCTACTTCAGGTGAGCATTAGGTTCACATCTTCCTTTTTTTCTTATGAAGTTCAAGAGAAAGTTGAAAATTTGAATATCCTATGTGGAGGTGACTATTACTTTTATGTTGGCTGTTGCTGTTACCCCTCAAAGTCCTGCTGAAACAAAGTTTTCACCTGCCTATGAAAGGATAGCAAATAGAGCACTGACTTAAAGAAGACCCTCCCCTCTGTTTTCTCCAGACGTACCTGTGAAGGTGGTGGGACAGAAAAAAGGACGTCCTCGGAAGATCTCAAGACATAGGCAGGCTTATATAGAGCTACTTCAATATGTATTAGGTCACACATTTTTCAAACCAAATTCAAATGGCATCATATTAGATTCTGATCCCGTGAGTGGAGCTTAAAGCCAGAGTTTTGCCTACAGTTTATCCTGCATCATACTCTTCCACCCTTCAGAGCATTATGGGGATTTTTTTTCTCATTTATGTACATTAAAGCCATGAAGCAAAGTCCATTCCTTCTAAAAACATCTCATAGTTCTAAACAGACTATTGCATTTTATAATGATTCTGAGAATGAAATTAAATGTTGCCTGCTTTCTTTAAAGGCTTGAGTATTTGCTGATTCCTTGCCATCTTTGGCTATATTGTTTTTCCTTCCACTCTTCCCTCCAAGCTACATGATTAAATATTTATTTCACTCACTTAATTCAGATCCATCTTTAATATCCTCCTGGGGCAGTTCGTAGTTGATCACACAAGAAATGAAACTCATGAATCACAAGTCTTATGTAAGTTCCCTCAGCATTTGAGAGGGGACTGCAATTGCATCATTCCTTTTATTTCATTTAACATCCCACTGTCAAAGTGTTCCACAAGATAAAGTAACCCCAGCTATTAGCTTCTGTAATAATATGGAATTTTAAAGATCAAAGTAATGATTTTCTGTTATAAAATATGCTGCTGCAATTGCAAATGTGCTCTAAAGTGAGAGTAAACATAAGGATAAGCTGCTATAACCCCTTCCCCTAAGAAACACATCTTCAAGTTCCCTTTTATTTTATGTCAGCAGTATGAGGGTCCATCTACACTGTAGATTTCATGCAGTTTGACACTACTTTAACTGCCATAATGCAATGCTCTGGAATCATGGGAGCTATGGCTTGGTGAAACACCACACTATTTGGCATAGGAGGTTGAAAGTTCAACTCCCATGACTCCATAATGTTAGCAACAAGAAAGAGAGATACATCAACAAGAGAGAGAAAGAGAAAGAAAGAAAGAAAGAGAGAGAGAGAGAGAGAGAGAGAGAAGCATCTTAAGATCTTGGAAAATTGTATTGTAATATCTAAAAGCTTATACAGTTGTCTTGATTCTGGTAGTTTAAAGTATTTGTTACCTATTACCAATCATCATATGTGTTCTTGTATGTGGACTGGGTTAGGCTGGGCCACTAGTTAGCCTTAGGTCTCATCTACCCTGACCATATGTGTAATCCAGTTTGAAGCTAGTTTCAAACTGTGATGGCTACAAAACATATACCACCAAAGTGCACTGCAGTGTGGGTGAAATGTAGTAATCCAAGTCAGGGAAAGGTCTGAGTTAAGTTCCTTAATGCACATCAGTGAGACCAAAATCTAAACAACATAGAACAGCAAAACTGACTGCAAAATCTGAAGCACTTTATAAATACTTGCCTGTACTGCAGTGCTTTTGTAAAATTTGGAACATGGGGGTAGTGGGGCTGCCAAACAAACAAACACCCCAAGGGCATGGCTGGACAGCAAGGGGCTAATTGACACCTTGGGACAGGTAATTGATTACTTCCACTGCTGTGGCTTCCTTTCTTTCCTCCTTCCAGGCACTGATGCAAACATTCAGCATTGGTTACTCAAAAATCAGATTACTCTTATGTCATTGTTGATAGAGTTACAAGCTTGGTAGATGATGGAAATGCTCTGGATGTAGCATATGTTCCTTTCAGCAAGCAGACTATAGTTTTTTTTTAAAAAAAATATATGCACACTGAACATATCTTATGTATAGTGCAAAAAATGAAAGAACAATGCAGTCTTTAAAAGAACAGTTTTAACCTACAAAAACATATCAGTATTTCAATGGGAAGTGTGCTTTTGGCTGATGAGACAGTCAAGTTAATTAGGATTGTTGTTGTGTGCCTTCAAGTCATTTCATACTTAGGATTACTCTGAGTCTAATGTTTAGGGTAGGGGGTGGGTAAATGACCTTGGAGGGCCTTCATTTGGGGACCCCTAACCTAAATATTAGGAAGAACTTACTGATCGGAAGTGTTGTTTGCCAATAGAATATGCTGCCTTGGAATATAGTGGAATCTCCTGGCTGGATGGCTATTTATTGGGGGTGCATTGATTTTGCATTCCTGCATGGCAGAGAGTTGGACTGGATAGCCTTTGTGGTCTCTTCCAACCCTATTTTTCCACGATTCTATAGGGAATGACCAATCACTGAGGACATACACTGTTAACACATATGTTGTTACTATTGTCTGTTGGTCTAAAGTTAGCTGTGCACTGAATACACCTTCTCTAATGCACTGGTTAATGTGAGGAGTTGGCATGGACTAAAACATTTATGAAGTAATGCCAAATTAATGACTCCAATTATAAAGTAGGACAACATAGACATAATTTCACATCTTTCTGCCTTTTATCTTAACACCAGAAAGAAAGAAAAAGAGGAGTAAAAGGAGGAAGGGGAGTGGAAAGGGGAAGATTAAAAACAGGAGGAAGAGGGGGATGAAAAAGGCACATTGGGAGCACATGAATGTTAGGCACTGCTTCAAATTATCTGTCAATAGACAGTAATTTCATTTTTCGGTTTCAGTTTGGTATCTACACAATCAAACAGAAAGAAAATGAAGTTACTTGTAATGAACAAGGAAAGAACTGGACAAGGAAAACTCACCTAAGAATGGGTCACTGTACTCTGTATTAGATAACTTTAGCAAATTACTTTCCAAGGTTTCCATCACTTTAGCTGAAAAGAAAAACAACATTTTCCATCAAGGTCTTTGTTGAAATCTCCCAAATGCCATTCCAGATTTGTTTCTTTGGCCTCATATATCACATTTAGTAAAGTATCACACATTTGAAAGAATATAAATGACTTCCATAAGCAATTACCTACCTCGTTCTGAGACAACGTCAACTGTGGTGGTTGATGCACCTGCACTTACTGGCTGAGGTTGAGGTTGCACTTGATTTGGTTGAAGAAACGAGGAGTGTTTGCTGAGACTGTGGGGATGGGTTTGGCTCTGGGCTAGGCATGGTAAGGATCTTCTGGAAGGTTTCAAAGGGGGTTCTTTTACATTCTCACTCTTGCTAGTGTTCATGCCTGAAATAGATAATGAAACGGTCAGGAGAATATTATCAATGCAAATAATTGCATTATAATTGTTAAACATATAATGTAAGACTGGTACAGATTGAATATCCCATATCTAAATGCTTTGGCCTATATTCCAGATTATTAGGAGTTTTGAATATTTGCATATACATACTGGAGATCGGAGCCAAGTTCTAATTTCAAAATGTCAAATAAAGGATACTCAACTTGTATCTCTCTCTCCATCTCTCCCACACAAATAACACCAAAATCCATAATAAAAGTGGGCAATACCTTATTAGGAGCAAAATTTGCACTTTTGAAGTCTCTCAAACTCCTCTTCAGGCGAGAGGGTAAAAGATTATGGAGTTGTGGATGGGAAACAAAGATGACTGGAAAAAGTCCAGATATTTTAAAACTCAGGGTTTTAGGATTAAACTCAGACACTATAAAGAGATAGCAGGTCATACACTTATCACATGACATCTAGCAAAGCCGATTGGGATGGAAACAATATGACTGATTCTCTTCTCTGAAAATTCAAGGAGCTGAAATGTTTGCCTATCATTTTTTTTAAAAACCCAGAGCTTTAGTTCTGTTTTATATAGTATTGTTTACAATGATAACCTGTGTTGGGGTGTTCCAAATAATAGAATCATAGAGTTGGAAGAGACCTCGTGGGCCATCTAGTCCAACCCTCTGCCAAGAAGCAGGAAAATCCCATTCAAATCACCCTCGAAAGATGGCCATCCAGCCTCTGTTTAAAAGCCTCCAAAGAAGGAGCCTCCACCACTGAGCACATACACTGTTAATAAATATGTTGTTACTACTGTCTGTTGTTTTAAGGTTAGCTGTGCACTAAAGAGACCTTCCCTAATGCAAATACAAAATAGAACTCAATTAACTTTCTCCTGGGAGGTTGGTAGCTTCCTCTGAATCATCTCCGAGCTCTCAACATTTGCTCAAGATAGAGATGGAATCTGGAGTAGATCTGTGGAGGATTCATGAAATTGCAGCCAGCAAAAGAGGAGTGCAGAATCTGTGAATCAATTTATGTTTTTGTAAAAAAAAAGTGGTCGAACAGTGGATTGTATTTAAAAGAGTAATAACTTGGGTTACTGAACACTTTCAGAAGAGAAGTTTTCCCCCATGTACTGTATTTCACGACATAATCATTGCACGTTCCCCACTTTTCCTCACTTCAAAAAAGGGGTATATGACTATTAAGACATGAACGATTTTAGGCCTACAGAGCCTCCCCTGGCCAACAGACGAAGGGGGCCCTACAGGCCTTTCCCACCGGCACAAATGAGTGAGAGTTCGGAAGCCTCCCCCAGCTAACAGCAGCCTAGGGAGGCCTCCTAGCTCTTGCAACTTCGTCCACCCGCAGGCCTGGCCCTTGGAGCTTTGAAGGCTGATCCATGGGACAGGTGTTAGGTGGGGGTGCAATTATTATGTGAGTAACCCTTAAATCCCAAATTAAGGGCCTCAAAAAGAGGAATTCGACTATTATGCGAGTAAATACTGTATTTAGACATAAGAACATTTTGTTGAAATTGACATTAGCATATCACTAGCGATTATATTCAGCAGTTCTTCAGTCTACAGACTTTTCTATTACTATCAACACTGTTGTATTTTAATATTTTATTCCACTTTATCAGTCCATACAGATGTCATATCTCATTTCTAAACACACAGGTCTCATGCAGTCTTTTCACATTAGCTTCTTCTTCCATTAAAGAAGTGTGGTTTGTATCAGAACTGTGCTACTGCTATTGAAATGCATGTTCACACTTCACTTTTGATCTTATGGTTGTGTCTATCATTTGCACTATAGCTCTCTGGCAAAATGAATGGTTTTGGATAACCACTCATTACTAGAGATGGAGGCTCTCAGTATTTTCCTCTGTAGTCCCAGTTTTTTTAAAAAAAGAAATCAATGGCTATAATTGTGCTAGTGCAACATTTCTCTGTTCCAGTCTCCAATCTTACTGGCCTTCTGCTACAGTATCATGTAACATTCAATAGATTCCAGTGGGCAGCATGGAAATTTTGGATAATCAGGTCCACCAGATGCCCTAAACACACCTACTAGTCACTAAATTGGGTCACTTGCAGTAGAGATCTTTAACATCAGAAAAGAACAACAAAAACCATGCAACCCCCCCCCCCCCAAAAAAAAACCTGCCTCTGTGACCTGGGGTGACAAACCAAGCTGTTGAGAGCCTAGAAAGGATAAGGAACTAAGAAACATGTTGTGGTCCGATCTCCTCTCTTCCAATCCACCTTAAGTGCCAGTCAAATCCACCATTGAGAAAGCTTGTGGTAAGGAATTGTGACTGAGGCCTTGCTTCTGGCAATCACTGGCATGTGGAGGGTGGAAATCCCTGTCTCCTTCTATCCTGATCACCAATTGAATAGATCTTGTTCACCTAATTTAGTAGTTGGTCCTTAAGATGGACAACAGGCTGCTACCTGGTAAGATGTGCTGTGACTATGTAGGATTAGCAAATGTAAAGCAAATAGACATTTGTAACACTAGGCTATGGATCCATAATTGCAATACTGAATACCAGTCAGTATTTTTGGTGGCAAAAACAAACAAACATGGGATCACTCAAGGAGAGAGATAGAATAGCAGTAACATCTTATGTGAAGGCTCCCTTCTTGCTGATACTTGCCCACCTCTTTTTCCATTATGAAAACCTTGTGTGAAAATGGCCTTACTCTTTGTAATGCCCTGATGTGAAGAGGCATAGAAACAGAAGCCTTTTGCCACTGTGGTCTACAGGAAGAAGGATTATGCTTGAGAAATTTTTGGCAATGTTCTATTAGTTTTTACTTAACACATAAATACACCTATTGTAGTACCCTGGTATGACTGGTAGAAAAATTATTTAACTGAGTTCCAAAAATGATATTGCAGAAGTAGAAATTATGATGGCCTTCTATTTGGGCAACATCAGATTTGGATCCTAGCCAAAATACTTTATAGCTTCTTACATGATGAGTAATACAACTCACTTTGATGGTTACATTTTAATCCTTTGAAAATGTGCCCATTACAAGATAAAATTAAATTACTGCCATGGAAATTAGGTAAACTTATGAGACCCTTGAAAATGCAGCCAAAAGAGATTGAGAGTGGAATCACACACACAGATAGATATGAGCTCCATATTCCACTTGTCAAAATATAGTACTTACTATCATTTTCTTTTATATTCTAAAATGAAAAAATGGAAAAATGCCTGATGATTTGTGGTCATCATTGGATTAATGATACAAGTGAAGCTTTGAAAAACAAAACTGAAAAACTTTAAAATAAATTTAAAGGCATTAAGTGAGATGGATTTGTGCCACCCAAGTTGACAGTAATTTATTTCCAAAAGTATTAAATCATATTTCAGTGCAAGTTGCCAGCAAAAGAAGCAATTGTTTGGGGAATAGCAAAATAAAATTATTGCTAGGGGTAATATATATATCCCAAAACATAGCTTTATTGTGATTGATTTTTATTGTTATTTAGTCTCCTGCTGAAGATATAATCTGATTATTAACACCTTAACACCATAAAATAGAGATGAGCAATTGTGACCTTTTAGATTTTTTTTACCTAAAATTTTCATCAGCCCTTGCCAGCATAGTCAATGTAAAAGATGATAGGATTTTCAATTCAAAACCATTTCAGAGGGCCTCAGTTGCATCCTTGCCACAACAAATTCATATTTATTTCCAGTATTTATATTTATTTACATTTTAAGAATTCTATCCCACCTTTTATCAAGATGGCATATAAATGAAGTTAATCAAAACAACTTTTAACACTTTAAAACAATATATATAACTTTGGTAAGGTAAACACATATTAAATTTAATTAACAAGATAATTAATCAAAATGAATTAAGCTCAAAGCTACATCTATGCACAAATGTATGCTACTGTTTTTCAAAAGTTCATTGTCCCAATGTCGTGTGAACATGAGAAAGAAGAACATTGATTCAGGCACACAGTAGCTTATGGTGATAGTACAGCAACATGAATTGCCAGATATGACCTCTATGGCACTACTAAAATGTTAAGAATTTCATGTCCTATTCATATGAGAGATTCATGTGAACTGTTTATGTCACCCTTTCCTGACATAAAAGCAGGTCACAAAGACACGATGAAACACACCAGAAGTTCTATTGAGTAAATGAAAGCAGAGCACAAAACAAAACAATGTAACTTTATCAAAATAGGTCTTTTAGAAAGATGGAAATGCTATAAAATTTCCATTTGTTACTTTAAGTGTTTATTATCATTAGTTTCTCCAGGTTACTTTTATCAGGTTACTAGCCGTCCCCTGCCACACGTTGCTGAGGCCCAGTCTGGTGATCTGGAAAATAAAGTAATGAGAAAGTGATGGTTTCTAATATATGTAATTTTTTATGCTTGTGAGTAAACAGTATTTCTTGCTGTTTCTTTGTCAGTGTTGATGTGGAGATTTTCTGGTTTGCCTCCTCTGAAACATGCAACGTATAACAAAAAACATATAACAGCTACAAAAAAGCCCACTATATGGTTCAGATATGTGGATGACACTTTCACCATTTGGAGCCATGGAGAAGAAGAGCTAAACAGGTTCCTGGACCATCTGAACAGCATCCACCCAAACATCCAATTCACCATGGAAAAAGAAAATGAAGGAAGACTGCCTTTTCTAGATGTCCTAGTCATCCGAAAACCTGATCAACAAATGGGTCACACCGTTTACAGAAAACCCACACACACAGACCATCACCCAAGTCAAAAAAGAAGCACAATTCAAGCCTTGGCAGACCACTCAAAAAGAATCTGCGAACCCCACCTCCTTCAAGATGAACTGAACTACCTCAACTGGGCTCTACAGGCCAATGGATACTCCACCTCAGACATCAGAAGAGCCGCAAGACCGAGAACAAGCCATGAGAGTAAAGACAAAGATCCACCCAGAGGAAAAGTGTTCTTGCCATACATCAAG